GACCGATTTCCTCGAAGGGCTCTTTTCGCACAACCACGTGAAGGGTGGAAGAGAGCCAGAGGCGGTCAAACAATGACTTGGCAGCCAAGTGTGAAAGCCATTACCAGCAAACTCAGCTGCGCTGGTAATTGCCGTCTTCCTGGATGGGGACCCCGGGGCGGGCCACATCACTGGCTAAGGACATTGTCAGACATGGCCCAGTCGCGCCCTCAATGGCGCTCGTGCATCAAAGCTATTGCCTTTAATGCATAGCTCCTTTTCCAACCCCCCTCCCACTTGACAACTCACTGACAATACTGGATTTATGCACCAATTTACCAGCTCGCGTCTGCAGTGCGCAGCTACTTACCACCACCCCCCAAATCATCGGTGAACGAAACTGTGGCAGCTGCAACCACTGTACGACGAGTACGCGGTTATTACAGCTGACAATGATGATGATGATGATGCCACCTTGCCCCGTCTGATCAAATGTTAATTGAGGCTCCACTGGGATACAGTTACCACTGTGTGTCAACCTTTGATTTCATCTACTACTGGGTCAGAAACCCGGAACCTTAAGCGTGGGTTCGAAAATTCTGCCGTACAGACTTCTCATTTTTCGTCATCAATTCAAACTTGAACCGGCTTCAATGGATGTGACATACAAAACCAATGTCCGAAAAATTCCCAAGGTTGATGCGGTGTTCGTCCCAAAGAAACTAGCGTACAGTTGAACGGACGAAAAGCTATCCAAAAGGATTCGGCGGCTTCTGGAAATGAGGCCTCAGCCGTTCTTCGAAAAATTAGTATAGGAGTCACAAGAGATGAACTGGTACTTTGTACAATGTGGAACCGCTGTAGATCAGAAATCCACTAGTGAAGAGTAAGAAAACAAGCCATATTACACCTCGCCCGGGAAAACAAAAAAGTATTATTCAAGTACATGGGACACCGCTGAAAACTTAAGACAACAGCCTTTTCCTCGATATGCGGAAACGGGGAACCCACGAGCGACCCAATATTGGTATCTGAAGTCTACAGAGAACACTATGCAGACTGAGTCTTACGGGATTCAAGGGAAAGTTCTACTCCGTAACAAAGCGTTCTTATCGGACAGGACATTCTTATTAAGACACGGCCTGGGGTTAAGGTCGTACTGCCCTCTGCAATAGAAGTGTGAAGTCAGTAAGGCCCCAGCTGACCAGCATGTCCATATTTATGAAGCAGTGATGCTACCTTCCCCCAAGGAAAAATGGGTTAGAAAAGGTCGGCCCCAAAAACCGCACACTCCGATCGCCCAACGGTTGACCCTGACCACCGGCGCATTATCCAATACGGCCGAAATGTTTTTAAAACCAAAGATCCCGGCGCTGTTCAAAAGACACCTGCTGTACGCAACCGTATCAGGAGTGAGACAGCAATGCCCTACTTCCTGCGCCCTCGGGTCAGGCCGGCCCCCACAACCAAGTAAGTCAGACTATTGAGTCATTGGCCCCGGGAAGGGTCCCGCAAGAAAACCATAACTGCTGTTTCGTGGTCCAAACTTTTAAGTCAGAGGCTAGGTCCATGGTCTCCGAACAAAATCCTATATCTTCCCACCACCTTGTGAGTCAGACTTTTGAGTCAAAGGCTCAAGGTGGGGTACCTCAACTAAACCCCCCTCTTCAGCTTGGGCTACCGGGAAGTATCATTTGCCCCGCAGCTCCTTGCTCATCGACCTTCTCCTTCATTCCCTTCCAACCCATCGTACAATACAGTGCAATCAACCCATCTGTCGACCTACTAGCCACTGTTCCACGCCTCAACCATCGCCCAGAAAAATAATTCAAAATAATAACCTACTAACCTCAAAAGATCTGATCCATGTTGCGGTGTTCAATGTCCGTACTCTATGTCAAATTGGTCAACAGGCATCCGTTGCTGAAACCTTACTTTCCCTCTCTATCAATGTATGTTTTTCTCCGGTTGGGGACTGGCACATGTGGCGACTTGTTCCGTAGAAATGGTAACGCATTTGCATTTCCCGCCAAACACTACTGCCTTGGGGTTAGGCTTTTGAGCTAAAGGCTCTGGTTGAGGACCCTAATCGTCTTCCTGTGTAGATGTGGGCGCGCTGACAGTATCCCACCCCACGTACAACCACGATACTTAAGTTCAACAATGAACTCATGCCACATCGGCCCATTTCCGTTAGCTCCAATTTGTGCGGTTACATCGGCTTTCACGATCATAGGCACTTCACAGTCATTCTACGAGCCGTCATGTTCAGTTCTCCGGCAAATTTTAACGTTCGTACACTGAAACAAACCGGAAAACAATGCTATTACATGACGCTTCACTCGGTTTCTATTGACGCGGATTTAAGACTCTAGTGATTGTTGAACTAACGTCCCATCCGTTTCCTCTCGCTTGTGGTTGCGTATCTCTGGTTATCCAGAAGTCATTGCATCTAGTTCTGCTGTGGTTGGCATTGTTTTAATCCTGCAAACCGATGGACGAAATAAACCCGTGTGCGCCATAGGTACAAGTTCGCTATCGAGAACGGAAGCTTAGCGCACACTTTAACTGCCTCAACGTAACAAGCACCTTGTCCGGATGTTTTTCCACCCTGCACTTTCAAAGAATGTGGTCAGTCCCTTATGGCTGCCTTGATGTCAGGCTTTGGAATTAAGGCCTTTGGCTGCGGACCCTAGCCGTCCTCTTGTCTAAATGTGGTTGCCCTGGCAGTATCCCAGCGGAGGTACAACCACGAATTGCATATATACGAGTAAACTCATACATCGGCTGTTGCGTGGTGCCCTGAATGTCTTGTTGCGGCAAGCTACAAGCTCAGATATCGGTATGGTTGCCGGAGATCTGCATGCATAAGTTGGCAGGCTTAATAATCGTTCAGCTGTAATACCCTTTTTTAGGCCTAGATGCCCTTTCACCGGAAGGAAGCATGACGGCTGGGATATCGTCAGGATGCCCAATACTAAGCAGGGGAATTCGAGAGGCGGAAGTCGGGTTCGATCGGGCCGGGTTCTGATCAGTGAATCCGTGCTCTAACCACCGAGCCATCTAGCAGACTTATATGGTCGACATAGTTTTAGCTCGGTACATTTGGACATTGATTAACGATTGCTTCAGCTGTGTGCTGACCACAGGCTGTTTTTACGCAGTATTAAGTTCCGTGATAGTTTAAGTCGTCTGGCCACATGGTGTCTTCCAGTGGGTGTGCTGATCACGAACTCAAATCGATCACGTGGCCATCAGTTACTGATGGCGCGGATCACTAACTGACTGCTGGCCGTTTTGGAACACATTTGTGGATTTTGACCATGCGCTTGTCCTGGACCGGGTAAGATGCGGACAAATCGCATGGCAATAGGGAGACTGGCAGATTCGGATGTCAGACGAATTTACCGAAATCGTATTCTAGAGTCTCTTCCAAATGCTCCACCATCAGATGTTAATTCATGCTTGGACCTATTTGCACAGTGCTGAGAGTTTTGTCTGTGGTACGGCGCTACCAAGCGCACACAAGCACTGGATATCAGACCGAACAGTGGCATTGATTCAATTTCGGAGAAATATCTCAGCAAGCCCCGGCCACAAATTGACGCGACGAATTATCAGCCGTTAAGTTAAAGTGAGCGTGCGAACCGACCGGGAAATCTGGTGGACGCGGAAAGCCAAGGCTGTAGAAGAGGCCCAGAAAGCTAGTAAACAGTCGAAGACTATTTCAGTTAGTCCGCTCGACCGGCTCCTGGAAACCTGTGAATAAGACAATCAAGAATCAGAATGGAGTGACCATCTTGAATAAAGAAGAAGGGCTTGATCGGTGGGCCGAATATTTCAAGCAACAGCTATCGTGGCCACCAGCTCCCACTAATCTGGTGCTCACCGTTGACGTAGAACCCTGGACGGTGAAATTGGTGCCTCCTATGACCTCATAGATGTATGGCTGTATATGTCCTCATTAACACCACCGAGCTTCTGGCTCGATCGACATCACACCCGCATTGTTCATAGATGGGGGTGAAAAATTTGTCAGCAACCGACAATACTGCTCTTGTATTGACTCTGGGTAGTAAAGAACTTTGACAATGGCTGGACAGGGGTATCTCCTTTAGATTCTTAAAGCGCTGTACACCAACTCTCATGAATAAGTAGTGTAGGGTAAGCTCTCGTTTGAGTTCACTACGTTGGGTGGTGTCGATATGACCACAGTAGACTAATCCCCACCTACTACTTGTTTAGTCGAAATGCTCCTGGGAGTTCGGTCAAAGTGATTGAGTACTCTGGTTGCACATCTTTACTTGGATCTGAAGCAATCGTCATGCGGATGATGTTAAGTATTGTAAACAACTCTACTTGACTATTTGGTAGACAGTTGAAATTCGAAAAGTGTAGTGTTGCCAGATATGGTGGGTTCAAGCTCAAACCTCTTGCTTGCGAATGAGGTGATTGGGATAAGAGGCAAATTTTTCTACTTACGTAGCTGTGTTAGTCTCGGTGGTTTAACCAAAGACGGTTTTTCAGTAGGGATTGGGAAGGCCGGAGCATCTCTCATCAACCTGCACGATCTGTGGCGTAGCCGTTCCATCAACTTTTCTTTCAAGGATCGAGTTTATACTGCTTCAGTGTGTTCTATGTGATGATATGGGTAAGAGACCTGGTCGCTGTGCGCTGGGGATGCCTAAAGCTCACTGTTTTTCTGTACCTGCCCCCGGAGCATTGTCAGAACCTGGTGGGAACGTCAGATGAGTAATGCTGAAGTCTATTGAACAGTTTATAGAAGATATAAGTCGTATTTTGAAGATCTTTCGGCGTTATTGAAGAACATATTAGTGCATTAATTTCTATGGATAGCTGTGGAAAAAGTACTTGTAGCCTGATCTAACCAGATCGAACTCTGTCGGTTCAGAAGTTGGGGAAGAGAGGTGAAGATTAGAACGGTTCTAAGTAATAGATAAAGGTATAAAGGTGGTGCTGTTTTCGGAAATGTCCTACCCAGTGGTGTAGCCGCTTGCCCTTTTTACACACAAAGCTCGTGATATTTCATATACAAATTTTTCTCCATTGATTAAAGCTTTTTCTGTGCACTACGACGTTCACCGGCCTGTTTCATTCCTTATGCTTTTTTGTTCCACCAGGCTTCTCAGTATGAATATGAGCTTTTAAACTGACGTTCAGGAGCTCTTAGTGAATTACACTACTATTTGTGTTTTTTAATTCTGCATACTTTCAAGTGCATTCAGAAAAGCTTTATTCTGATGGGATGGCATGTCGTGCTCGAGGGGCAAAGGACGATTTTGATTAGGCTCATGGTGTTCCTGTTTCGTTTGTGAATTTTACTTGTTTGATTGAAATTTGTCGCTGCAATCTGTATTTTCGTATAGAAAAAATGACATTACGGGTTGTATATGACCTTTTTTTCCCTTGTCAAAATATTGCAGCTACTGGCGACGGTGCAGCTTCAATATGCTACTTTACATATTTCCGCCACATCCAGCTGTGAAAATACTGTAACACGAAACGTTTGATATGGGTTTGCGCCTAAGCTTGGACAGTTCAGAGTCGGAATCCAATGGAGGTCCAACATCCACGTCACGTATGTACACATCCTATCACCAGCCACACGATCGAACACGAACAGGCGTTTCTCTTGATAGCATTGTAAGCGGTCCAGATTCGCTGGGTCCGCATCGCAGCGGCGGTGAACCCACTACAGATTTACCTCATGTAACCGATTCAATATCACTCAGAGACCTAGTTCGGGAGTTGCGATCCATGAATTCCGATGAAAATCCCGTTTACCGCCTTTTCTATCCCCAGTCTACTCGTGATAGTAGGACGCCGAGCAGACCAGGGGCTTACCGTTCCAATTCCATGTCAAATCCAATAGACCCCTCTCACCCCACAGCGTCTGGGTCTGGCGAACCCACTACCACTGGTAGACTTATTTCCACAGGAAGACAGCGTGTCGCTCCCAGCGGCAGCGGTCACCACCGGCATCGGACCAGCTGCTTGGATTTAAATACCGACGTGGGGGCGAGTCGAACCCATGGTCGACGTAATGCGCGTCGATCTGGACCAGTGGGAACGACTGCAGTCGCTCGTTGGGATTCCAGTGACTCGGATGCGGACGACTTCGATTTTGTCAACAATTTGCACCTGTCATCCCTCTTGTTTCGGCATCTACAGTCGGGTTCATGTAAGTACCTTTTATTTTGGTCAAGATTCATGATATGGGCGCTCTGGGATTATCGCTGATCGATTTCTAGCATGAACTACCCAGTCGACTATATTTCTACCTTATCCTTTGAGCCCACTCGTGCTGTGCACGCTGGGGATCGAACGATGAGCATGTACTCTCATGGTATTTTATCTGTCAGAACGATGTCCCGTAGGCATTTGTGGGAATGTATACACCGAACGCCGCCAACATGGGAAATCTTGGCACTGAAAAATTCAGTCATCCGCCGTAAGGACCCGCTCCCTGTTCCCTAATTTTTTCACCGTTGAAATAGTGAGGTGGACGAACATGGAGCGCCACTTTTTCAGCAAACCGCGATGCTTAACTCACCACAAGCCCATTCCGTCTAAGGGAGCTATTTTTAAGCTCACCAGTTTTCCCGTTTCTTCATCCTCCAAGCCCTTGTGCTTCCTTCGGGTTGCATGGCGTTAGGCATCTTTTCAGCAAACCGCGATGCTTAACTCACCACAAGCCCATTCCGTCTAAGGGAGCTATTTTTAAGCTCACCAGTTTTCCCGTTTCTTCATCCTCCAAGCCCTTGTGCTTCCTTCGGGTTGCATGGCAGTTAGGCATCCAAAGAGTGCTACAGCTGAACAGTGTTTTAACGTCTCTATGTTCATGTGGACGTCAACCAGACATTTCTCGCCAGCTCAGTCCAGTAACTTGACTCCGCAAACCTTGACACCTTAAGCTTCTATATCGAACCGATAGTTGTACCTCACTAGACAATCATTTGGAAGGTTGTCTCTTCTGTGCCCTTTCTTGCCGGTAGAGTTTGCGTTTGTGTTGTTTCCTGACTTCTTTTTTCCAAGTAGTCGCTGCCACTTTCTACTCAGCACGCACCCCTTGCCACTTCAGGGACCCAATCAACTCGATTCAGTGCAAAGCTTGTCCGTGAACTCCATTCTAACACTGTAACCGATTGTTGGTACTTCTCCGATCATTAGGTCCGAAACCATATAGCCATATAGCTGCAACCCGCCACTAAAATTTTTAAGGCCTTGGTCCTGTCAGCATGTACGTTTTTTGGCCAGTTGGGATTACAAGTAAGTGGACTCACCGCTTCCGGTAGATACCTGCGTGAGTGAAATAGTCACTTCGCCTTTCGCAGTTTACTCATCTCTGGCCGTACATAACTTCTGGATGGCAGAGTGCATTTTCTTTCGATCCCATGGTGATGAATTGTATCTACTCCAGTCCGCCGCAGCTAAACATTGCTCACCGTGTCCAGGTGCGACTTCATGTATCTTTTAGCTTCACTTCGTGTGCTTGCTTCTTTCTGTTGTTATCTTTTCATGTGATTCATAATTTGGCTGACAGATGTTTGCACTGACCAAACCGTTTGTCGTTTTTTTGAGCTGTTTAGTTCGGTTTTGGAAACTTTCTCAATACATTTATGTCGGTTGGCTACCTGTCTAGCATTGTCATATTTCCTTCCTCCGGCCGCCTCTTGTTTTGTCATACTTTCGACGTCTGCAGACTGAATATTTCTGTCCACCCGTCTATTCCGTGTTTATGTCTCGTGTTCTTCCGCACTGCAACTTCAGCTTGTTGTCTCATATGGTGTACGCAAGGATTATAATAGCACTAACAGTTCCCACGCGTCATTTAGTCACGTGATTTTTCTTCACGGGGGAATGCTGAGTGCTTGCGTAAGGCCAGTCTACATCACACTGGGTCGTGATACACTCGAGATTGCTAACCCGCTGAAAGGCAAAACGCCACTGCACATCTTTTATCGTATCAGTTAACTTCAGTGTTAAAACGATGGGGTTCACCGATTGATTCAATACAGCTGGAGAACTTGGTATGGAATGATAGATCCCAACAGAAAACTATTCTCGAATCGCTTTTCCCGAAAAAAGTCAAGTTTGTCCAATAATTGGAGCCTGTCTCTATGGAGAAACTGAAATTTTTCGGTTCAAATTGGATATACTTTCTTTGTGGACTTGAATTAACTTGTAATCGTTTACTTTCACATTATCTTGTTAAATCGGGACTGTTCTGCGGATGCTGAATCATTGGCCTTGTATTCTAATTTGGGCTTTGTACAGCATCAATCCGCAGCTATTGTTAGCCTGTTAACCGAACAACTGTGTCTGTTTCATAAAGGAAACTACTCACAAGGCTGCTGAAAACTCAACAACAGGCAACCTTGTGAGTAGTTTCCTTTATGAAAATATACTGCGATATCTCGAATATCGTGCCAACTGAATCATGAGGTGGCCTGTGTGCAGCACATTCAGTTGTAGAATGTCATAGACGAGTCTGTCGTGTAAACCAAATTGATTTGCAAATGAGTGTATTTCTCGAGAACTCAGTGTCTTGTACGTCTTCTTAAGTTCCGATTGAGACAGAGAGTTATTTGAGTCTTGCCAGAAACAAGGTAATCTTAATTTGAAACGGTTAGAGACCGTGATAAGCGCTTACTAGTCAGTTAAACTTGCGATTTATTTGGGTGTCTTGAATGGTTTTGATTGTCTCGGTGATTTGCCTTCACAGCGGACCTGATAATTAATGGGACTTTCACTGGACTGATGTGATCGGTCCCTGAAAGTCGACTAACGTGGGTGCGATCATGTGAATGACACCACTCTCCGAATCTGGAATGCTGTAACCAGAAAAATGAGTGTCTCAATGGTCATTTGGTAGCCCGTCGGATGAAACCTATTCAAACAAGTTGCACAGTGCACTCGCGTTCCTGGATTTCCAAGGCGTATTTGACTCGGTTGACCGGTCTGTTCTGCTTCACACGCTTGCCCACCAAGAAATGCCCCGGAAGTTTGTATTCGCGGATTTCCAGACATGTGAGAGCATATGGCGAGCTCTCCAAAAGCTTCCGTACACAATTCGGTATCCGTCAGGAATGTCCACTTTCTCCATTGTTATTTGACTTCGTGATGGAAGAAATCATGAAACGAACGCTGAAAGGTCTCCAAAATTTCTAACAGCCTGTGACGAAAACCTTTGGCGATCTGGAATATGCAGACGACAT